TATATATATATATATAAAGACAAAGAAAAGATTATAGGACAATCTCAGAGTGGAAAAGGCTTTCTTAAGCAAGATACACAAAGAGGCACAAAACACAGCATGATCAATGTGACTGTATTACAATTCAAACATCTATACAAAACTTAGCGTGAGTAAAGTGGGAGAGGCAAAAATAGACAAGGCTGTTTCTACTACATCTAATTAACAAAGAATTAGTGTCTTGTATATAAAGAATTCTTACAAATTTTAAAAATGTTCTGCCAACAGTAAAATGAGCAAAGATTTGAACAGGCCATTTACAGAAAAGAAAAACCAAGTCATTCAGTTTACTTGTTCATGGAAATCCAAAACTGAAAACATTTTAAATATTCGGTAGCAGCTGAAGGGATAGACTGTGATAAACTCATTCATATAAGAGACTATTAGGCAATAGTTTCTCAAACATTGATAAATTAAAACTACATGCATCAATTATCCATACATTTCAAAACAGTGTTGAGCAAAATGGAGGGTGTCAGTATGACAATCCTGACATAGCTTTAAAACATGCATCTCTTAAGTGAGTAAGGATGCATGGGCATTTGTATTATTTGCTGCTTCTTAAAATGTACATTCTTTTATACTTTTTCAAATAATAAACATAGTATATATTTACATAGTACTGGACAAATATATATTAAAACATTATAAATTACAGAGGTAAATATATGTAATACAAATATAAAAATATGCACAGGAATGATAAGGCACATTAAAAGTAGATGGGGAAGGTGTAAGGAGTACAGTCTTCAAGTACATTTATAATGCTTTCTTAAAATGAAAATTCTCAGGCAAATAAGGTGAATGCTAAAATCTCACAAAACTAGGTAGCAGATGCCCACAATATTTAATGGATTTATATCGATACTTTTCAAAACAGTTAAAATATTTCAATAAATTTTAAAATACAGAAAGCTATTTCAAATAAACCTCAGGTAGAGGAGATCTGATTTTGAAACAATCGTGTACTTAGGAGTTTCCTATATACACTGATTTACGCATATAATACAAGAAAGGAAACAAACTGATGTAATATTTCAAATAAATTATATTAGCTACATTAGAATACTTACAGATTCTAAGTCTTTAATATCTTCCTCTAACTGCTTGTTTTGCTCATTCATATTCATAATTATATTAAATACCGACTGTCTAGGATGCAGTGTTCGATCAAATTGGTGGTACATGTTCCTCCAAAACCTTTATGACAAAAATGAAGTTTCAATAAAATGTGTTTGAGAAAAATCAAGTTAATATAGTATGTGAATGATGCTAACTTACTTGAAATTGAAAGATACTGTGTTTGGTTCCAAAACCGCAAATTTCTGAGATTTAGAGCTGTAGAGAGGATTTAAGTACTTCTTTTGATCATCCAAAAGAAATGGCCACACAGAGTGAGTCTTCTCCTTTAACCTTAATGTGATGAAAAGCAAGGATCTTTGTTATAGATGTTAACACTAATTTTTATAAATCGGGGGAAAGTTTTAGTTTTTCTTCCTATTTAAAGTCTCAAACCCCTCGTCTCTGAATTCTGTATTCGCTTTTCACATTTTCCACGCACAATCAGGTAATAAATAAAACCATATCCCTTGAATACATACAAGTTTACCAACTTCTTTCATAACCATGCACTTTAAGAGATTCCTTTCATTTTTTAAAAGATTTTTATTTATTTTATGTTGAAAACACAGGGATGAGAAGATTCACCAGAGACAGAGTCGGGAGCAGGACAGACAGATTTACTGAAAGACCCTGCTAAGGGAGCAGCCAGTGAAACAGAGAGATCTGCTGTGCCATATGGGTTAGTTCCTTGGGTGAGGATTGAACTCTGGCTACCAAGATGGATTGTCAGAGGGATAGTGCTGAGACTTAACTCCTAGGCCACCAGGGAGGCCCAAAAGATTCCTTTTTACCTCCAAAATTTTATAAACTTGCTTCCTGTTACACCTATTTCAAATCATCAAATATACTTACGGAGTATTTGATGAGTATATGGAACAAGATATTAAGAAAAAAATCATATCTCACAATAGTAAAAATTACCAATTGTATTGCAAATCAGAATAAATAGGTGAGTAAAAAATCAAATAATTTTAGATATACTTACCAAATATGCATAAAATAAATAGGAATGGGGGGGTGGAGAATCTGCTACCTTTTTTTATAACCCCTAAAATGACACATAAGTATATTCTTAGAGAATAAAATAGAATAATCTCTTTTATTATCACTTTCTCATTTATGAGCATGTTTAGAACTAGTTGAGGATAGTTCTTCCTAAAACAGCTTTAGTTCCAAGAGTCATCTACTCCAAATTATGATAAGCTGAAAATTATATAGCACAGAGTTGAAGTCTTAATGTTTTTGATTTGTTCATCTCTTTCAACTCTTCACTCCCTTTGCACATCTTAGAATCTTCCACATGATCTCAGTTCTGCCATCAACTTTGTTGGGAGTAATAGATTACTAACAGATTTAGCTTCTCTAGTATGTAACTAAACATTCAAGAATCTATAACTGCTTTTTATGGACTCTTTGGGAAACTGTGAATCCCAGGCATGGGTATATACCTCAAAGCCTTACCTAACATTTCCCTTGCATTAGTATTCAGCCAGAAATTGCTACCTCCAAAGCCAGATTAGGGAGGAACAAGTATGGGACCCTATTCAAGGACAGACACAGTGCAGCCAACAGAGGTAGATTTATTCATCCTAAAGAAATACCCGTTTAGAAATGTGAGAACTGTAAAGTTTCATCATACTTTAAATCAATACTTAAATCTTTTACCAGATTTTAAAACTTAATGATGAATACTTTCCAGAGGATGGAATTGTGTAAAGATATTTCTGTTACAAAGGTAAAGTCAGGATGGAAAGGAGAATTCTAGAATGTTGGTAATGCTCCTCATTCTGGAGATTTATTGGCCTTTAATTGATGCTATATGTATTTTTTTTTATATGCAGGCTACACTTCTAGTGTTTTAAATGTATTTTTATATGTAAATGTATTTTTACTATATATGAGGGATGAAGGTATTTAGTTTCAGAAATACAAACAACAAAATCTTCACGATAAAATTCAGGACTATTTTATGTCAAGATATTTTATGAAGTTCAAGGATCTATGTTAGACTTCCCTCAGCTAGTAGGAAAAAAAGAGAGCCCATTTTAATCAAATTATCTTACTTGAGTTCTTCTCTTTCCTTCTGACAATTTCCAAGGAAGTTTCCAAATTGACATGAATGAATATGTTCATGGATCTGAAGAAGAAATGCTTCATTGAATTCAAAGGCCTGTGGAAACTGTTCTGTCAAATGCCACACACATTCCAAGAACTGAGTAAACACCGGTGAGACTTCCTTTGCATCACCATCCAAATGGCCACACCTAAGACCCCAGAAAGTACAAGCTTTTAAAGTTGCCTCTAAAAGCTCATTGTTCAGTTATTGCTAAAATTAAATATATGCACACAAAACATCCTAAAACATTATTGTAGGCTATCACCAAAATACTATACTGCTTTTATTAAAACAATTGATGTTGATGAGTTTTCAACTGCAATTTTAAAGGGTTTGTTACCTTCTTCTACAACATACAGACAAAAAAGGTAGTAAGTAGCCATGACAATTAACGCAGGTAAAAAAAATTAAAATGGCAGCAAAAATTAAATCAATCTTCATACAAAAACCCTAGCACGCTCACTTAACTCATACACGCAAGCTCAGGAAGAGAAATGCAACACTCCAAGCTTGTTTATGGATTTTACAGCATATAACTGTGACTCACCTATCTGAAAACTTATGTCCAAAGGAAATCCAGTCCTTTTCTATTAAAACCTTAATGACAAAAAGTATAAAATCTTTCAATTTGTTGTTGTTTAGAGTGGACAAAATCTTATTATCTTAAAAACAATCACTTATACTTTAATGATATGGCTGAAAGCAAAACAACAAAACATTTTTAATTATAAGAAAAACCCTGGGAGACTAGAGGTGGGGTTAAAGCCATGAAATAATACATAAAAGGAAGTACAGTCTATGACTATTTCAGTTGCACTTACTACATTTTAAGTGAAAAGTATGCATTATTACAAAGCACTACTGCACTTACATTATGTATATATGATGAAAATATGTGCATAGAAAAATCTAGGAAAATATAAAACAATATGTTAACAGTGGTTAACTTTGGATGGAAGACTAGTGTGGGTGTTGAAAATGATAGAGATTTAAAAATGATAACGACCAATGAAACATTTACATTCAAATTCAAATGTTGACATTGAATCTCCTGGGTCTTTCTTTTATCTGTTTTCTGTCACAACTCCACTAAATAGGGTTTTTTTTTTTTAAGAATAATCTAAACATATCTGCTCAGTATTGAATATTTATAGCATCATTATAATAATCACCAAGTACATTTTTTGTACAATGTTAAAACTGTCACTTTTAGTTTCTCTGACTTTGTTTTAGATCTTACTTTTCCAGAAGGCCATATAATCAAGCAAAGATGCAATCTGAAGTTACATTCCATGGCCTCAAATCCTAAATTTGTTGCTTCCATACCTGCAGACCTAGGCAACTGCTCTTCACATTCGAACTCAGATTTTATTATAGGCCCTCTTCCATTCTCTAGATACCAGCACTTAAAACTGAACTCAGTATCTTTCCCACTAGATGTAATCCTGTGCTTACTTCAGAAGAGCAGAAAAATAGCATATTGGCATGTGAGTCTGGAGCCTGGAAATCTTGGAAATGCCTTTCTTTTATTCCACATCCACAGCCCATTAGCAATTCCTATTGACTCTACTTTTTTAACATTGCTTGGGACTGATCTCCTCCCCTCCGTTTCTGTGGTCCTGACTTAATCCTGACACTTTTTTTCCTCTCCAGAGTTATCATAACAGTTTGTATGCTGGTCTCCTAACCTCCATTCCCATATCTTTAGTTTTCAAGACATGAAACTATCTTTTTTCATCTAAGCAAGTTGCAAAATGTTTCTCTAAATAATCTCCCTTAATGGCTCTTCTACCCAAAAAAGGCAAAGCCCAAACTCCAGTCTTTCTGTTCCTCAAACCCTTAACCTCACTATATTTCTCTGCTCTCAAGTTCGTAACATTAACACTAACTCTGACTCCACCCTGCAGTCACCTAGAAGCTATGTTTTGTTCACAGTGTTCCATTACCTGGGAAGCTCTGACACTGTCTCTACTATGTATTACAACAGTTCATTGGAGATCTAGCAAACAATTAAACACTAAATGTGAACTTCTGTTTGGCTGCTCCAGATTCAGCATGTTAGCACCACAGAGTAATGGTACGGAAAGGAACCTGTTGATATTAAGCCTTCCCTTGCTTTAAGCTGTCATTATAATCAATACTTCTAAATTAATGAAAACTTTGTACCATCTCTTCATTAACTTGCTTGACACGAGTCAAATATATATATAAAATTTGAAAATATGAGTAAATCTGATCATATGTAAAATAAAAACAACAAAACAGACAGACCAGGGGTTTAGTTACAAAGGCTGAAAATCAGTTCAACTAGAAATTTAATTTTCAGATATAAAACATGCTTCTAACAAGTAATTATAATTAACAAATGAAGTTGTATATAGCAAGTTTCTTCTTGAATGCATTTTTTTAGTACTCTTATTTGTGACTTATTTTACCACCTTAGCTATATCTGTTACATAAATGAGAAATTATAAGTATTGTAATATTTTAAGGAAAAAAACTTAAAGTCTAAAATTTTTGTCAAAGAAGTATCAGGAGAGAAATCAGTATAACTCAGGGCCCTTCAACCTTAGTGTTACTAACATATGTCCAGATCATTCTATGCTGAAGGACGGTTCTGTGTATTACAAAATGTCTAGCATCTCGGGCATCTGTCAGCTACATGTCAGCCACAGCCTTTCTTTTAGTGGTAACAATCAGAAATATCTTCTGATATCAAATATCCCTTAGAAGGCTAAAATCACCCTACTTGAGAAGCACTGGTCTAGCCTAGTAAATCCTTACCATGAATCCTTTGATCGTTCTGTAGTAGGAATCCAGTAAGAGAGAGCCAAGAGAACAAACCTGGGAAGTCCTATCCCACCCATCAGAGCAATGTACCAATACACTTGCACTTTCAACCATTATTGCCTGAAAAGAAAGATCACACAACTTAGACTCTCTCAGGACACATTTTAGGTAATCGATAAGTTTCATGTATTCAAATATCATGCTAGTAATCATTAAAGTATAAAGAACTCTGATAACAATTAGAATTTCTAAAAAAAAAAAAGGAGACAAAACACCATATAAATTTAAAGCAAAACCAAACACAAAACAATGTTTCAAATGGTTTGGGAATTTCTTATTTTTTTTTTTTTTAAGATTTATTTTATCTGTACATACAGAACTGGGGTACAGGCCAGGGGCTCAGGGACGGTGAAAGGCTTCACCAGAGACAAAGTGGGGAACAGAACAGGCAGATCGACGAAGTACACTGCTGAGGGGAGCAGCGGGCGGGTCAGGAGAGGTCTGCCACGCCCTGTGGTCACCTCCGGGGCAGGCGGGAATCGAACCTCATGCAGAAGTGGCTTTAGCCTCTCAGTGTAGTGCTTTAACCCGCTGCGCCACCAGGGAGGGCTGGGAATTTCTTTTTTCAGTCCCCATATTAAGTGCTACTTGATACTGTTAAAGTTCAAATTAAGTGCTACATGATATTGTTAAAGTTCAAATTACCTCATTAAGAGGTAAAGCATAAAGAATTTTATCTAGCTGGAAAAGATTCCAGCACCCAGCAGAATAAATGCATTTCTTCCCAATCTTCAAAAACCCGAAAACCCAAAAAACAAAGACAGTTACTCTGGCTAAAAAGATTGCAGCATCCATCACAGCTTTGATATGACGAAGCCATCCTGAGTTCTCCAAGCCAGAGTAGAATTCATTGACAGAAAGACCCTTGGTGCCACTGACTAAAAAAGGGAGAAAAAAAAATTTCATTAGAATGGCACCAGTCTCCTGTTTTGTTATCTCTAGATGAGTGAACTGCATATGAGGAGAAGAGAACAACAGGGAAAACTATAAATAGAAAGATATTATGAAGCTCAATAAAGATTTGGGGGTACATTTTTCTATCATTTCCTGTATTTAAAAAAACCACAATCTCTTTATAAAAATAATTTGTATTAGAAGGATTTATTTAAAAAGAGTGATATTTTGATTTGATATTCCACACTGTGACTGGAAAGATACCTTAATGTTTAAGTAGAATATTATGATCACATATTAATCTTCACTACCAAGAATGTCTAAAAATAGCAATTGTTTTTTTAAAAATCATTAGAACCAAACCATCCATTACAGTGGCCACTACCCAATTATGGTTATGGGACACCTGCAATGTGGCTAGTCTAAACTGAGATATGCTGAATGCACTAAAAATCCACATTCAGTTCTTAAGACTTACAGGAAAGATGTAAAATATCTCATGAATAATTATTTATATTGATTACATGTTAAACTTTCTTAACTTCAAGTTAAGAAAGTATATTTTTAAAATGAATTTCAACTATTACTTTTTAAAATATTACTAGAAAGTACAAAATTCTACAATTTTAAATTTCATAATGTGATTAGATTTCTTTTGGACAAAGCTTTTTGAATAATCATACCTTCCAGTAATTTCTGAAGGCTGGACCTCATTACATGAATATTTTCAATTCCAACAAACTGAAATCTAATGTTAGAATAGTTGTCTTCATTTTCATAACCTTTTCCAGCTGCCCGGTTGGCCATTGCATTCAGCTAAAATTTAAAATTTTAGAAGCTTAGTGACAAAATATTTTTTTATCTTTCTTTCAACTTAGTTTTTACCAAAATGTGAAAACATTAAATAAGCCATATTTTAGCTTAAGGAGAACTTAAAGGCACTCATTAAAACTGAATATGGTACTATTCTTTATATAAAAATGGCACATGCATTAATAGTAAAGAAGGATACTATAAAAAGCAACATAAATATATATGAGTTTCCAAGAAATAATTTGTTCTTGTTTTTCATCAGTTTTCCATATTTCAAAATTTATAATTTTTCAAAATTAAAAAAAGGTTTCCTAAATCTTAAATGATTTGGAGCTGAGCAGAGCTGTGGAGTCTTTCTTTTATAGAATCAATCTACAGATTGACTTCAGAACAAGCCTAGAGCACTTGATCATTCAGAAAGTCACAGATCTGAAATGAGTCAGATCATCTGAGGTCCTCCATATTAGAGGCTAATGGAGATCCATACAGTATATAATACCTCACATAAACCACAAGCCTGATAGATCTCCTAGCATTGGACCCAAAACAAACTTTTCTTTAGTAGTAAAACAAATTGCCTTTAGACTTGAGGCCTTCAGTTATCAGATCAAATGCCACCAGAGGTTCAATTAGGATTTCATGTTTGATTCTTTCAGACTTGGATCTCATATAATGCTTCATTACAATTTACTTAAATATTCTTATGAATTTGAATGAAACAGAACCAAATTTAGAAGCTAAGTGCATTCATTTAATCGACTGGGGTTAATGTTGATAACCAGTATAGTTAAATTTTATTTACTAATTCAGTGGTTGTTCAGTACTGATGTTGACTAAAGAAAGAGAAATTTAAAATATTATTCTGTATTATTACTATTTAACTAGTAAAGCAATCAGGATACAATTCAATTTTTGTTTAGAAGTCATTAATACAAATAAAAGATAATAGTTCCAGAGAAACAAATCTTCCTCAGACCACCTATCTAGAAAGTCCTATCTTATAATCACCATTTTTTATCAGGATTTATCTAAAAATAGTTCTGGCATTAATCTACCCAGACTACACAAGTTAAAAAAAATTCTTTACAAAAGATATCACCAATATTCTTGAATTCTAAGAAAGTATTTTCTCTTTAACAAATTTTCAAATTATTAAATTCTACCTTTGCATACTTCTGAATTTACTGAAATTAATCTTGTTTTTTACATATCTTTTTTGAAACTACACAATGATGAGAATTACTTCTAAAACAGCTACTATTCCTTTCAACAAAGCTCCCTAAAATTGTGTTCTTTATAGCTCACTCGCTTTTTCTCATCGCTTTCTCTTATTTTCTCATCATTCCAGATTTTTGAAGAAATCCTCACTATAATTCTGCCAATGTCCTTTTGTGAAGCCCACCAGCTCTGCATACGATGCTATAATAAAAATTAAAAGTAATGTTAGCTATTACCTTTGAGGATTTAATTACTTTAGTTTCAGGATCCTATATAAACTGGCTATTTAAGTGTGTTTGTAAAAAAGGGGGGGCAGGGAAGATTTTGACATTTGTTCTTTTGATAAAAATTTAACCTTACATTAAAGAAAGCTAACAGAGCAACTATTTCCTATTCACTGTTAATGCTCTAGATTCATGTTTCCTAAGTTAAACTGTTTTCCTTAATGTTATGAGTATTTCACATTAAGATGCATTATTTTAACAGTGTTTTACCAATTAAATATTCTACCAAAAATGGAAGTAAAATTTTTTAATTTTTACAGCACACATTATTTAGTATTCTTTCAACATAAGTTAAACATAACTGAGTTCTCAGTATAAAATCAGTTTCCCTAAATGTCTATTACATATATGTATCAAAAGATGTAAGAAATCACCATCTGGGTTATTGGGAATTTTGTTTCCAACACTGGTAACTTTTAAGGCATTGAATTCCTTTGCCATCATTAGACAGTGTTAAGACAAACTAGAATTTAGATATTTTAAACATGGATGGCTTGATCAACTCCCAAAATTAAGTAACAAAGACTATCCTGTTTTCAAGACACATACTTTGGGTCTGGTATCCACAACATACACATAGCGATTCACTGGGTTGGCTTTACTAATGGCTTGAAGCAAATGTTCATCCTCCAGGCATCTGGCACTGAATCCTGACAGTGGTTGACTACATCGACAAATGGCAGCCTGATTTTTAAAGACAGAAAATAGATTATCCAAAGATGTCCAGAATACGTCTCAAAAAGACATAAAGGACAAAATAGCCAAACTTTAAATCAAATATGTAATCTGTTTAAAAACTGGTAGGACAATTAGAAGACGTTAACTTCAAAATCCGATTTTAATTAAATAATATTTCAATATCTTGATGTTCCTTAAGTTTTCTTATTATTCTCTTCTACTAAGAAGACTAAATGCCTCCTTACCTAGCTTGATTAAAAAAACCTTAGGTCCAA